GGTCAACCTTGGGTATTATTTCTCAGGAAATATTCATTTTTTGAGACTCTAGGACCTACAGATCACCCAAAATAGGCTAGTCTGGCTGGCCAGCCAACCCAGAGAGCTTCCTGCCCACCTTCCAGCACTGGAATTACAGGCACTTGCCACCAAGACCTGATCTTTATGAGGGGAATGGGGACCAAACCCAGGTCCTCATGCTCACATGCCAAGCACTTTAGTGACTGAGATAAATCCTCAGCCTCCAGTATCTGCACCTTTAGCCATAGCCTAGGAGACCTATTTTTCATACCCCAGATGAGACAACTCCATGACAAATACATCCCGTGGAGAGGCCTCTTACAGAGTAAACTTTCAACAGCCTTCCTAGGAGGAAGTTCCCAGAGCTGGTTGGCTGCGCTCTAAGGGTGAAAAGTCCCTCTTCCGGTTCTGTCCATCAGTCCAGGACAGAGAGTTCATTGACCTTGAGTTCCTGCTCTTAAAGCAAAGGGGAAACCAGAAAAGACATGTTCCATCGCCAGCACAAGGGTGTCACCTCTTTTGAACAAGTGAAACAGAAGAAAGGTGTCAGAGGCGGACGCTTTGTATCTTCCACGATAAGTAGGTCAGGTGTCAGCGAAAGAGAAAGCCCTTGAGAAGAAAAAGTCCCGATTTCTTAACAACCATGTAGGCTGCTCTCAGCGTAGTGCTCACGGAGCTCCGGCTGGGGAATGGCCAGAAGACAGTCTACATCTGCATTTTAAACCACAAAGTGAAATTCCTCCAAATACTAAGGCAGTGGAGCGGTTCTCCCGAGAGACTTCCCCAGGTTGGTAACTTCCTGTCTGACGAAGTCTCTCCATCTCCAGCTATCTCGGGAAGGTACAGACCTTCCGTTTAACTTCCTCATCAGGTGACAGTGGCAACTGAAAACAACTGTGTCCCCAGACCAACCTCTGCTTCACCAGGAAATACCACCTAGAACTCCACATTCAAAGAAAAGAAAATGATCACCGCATAACAGCAAGCGCAAAATAGGAAGAGGGGAGAGCCTACTTCAAATAGAAACCCCCAAAAAATGCATTTCTAAGATCCATGATACATGCTCCCCATGATTGATCCTCAAAACATTAAATGAAAGAGGCCAGTGGTGAGGGCTGGGAGAAGGGCTCAGCGATTAGGAATGTGTGTTAAACGTGAGAATTGCAAGGAGAAAGACCAGTTCCACAACTATCCAATGAAGGCAAGCTTTATTAAATACTGGCCAGAAAGGTGGGCACTGGCAGGGTCCATACCTGGGATTTCCAGAGAAATGGTGCTGAATTAGGTCGGTCAAGGTCCAAACTCACAAGGCTACAGGACTTCCCACCTTCATGGTATTGGGGGGCGAGCAAACATCCCGCCATACCTCCTGCCTACATACCTCCTGCCTACATACCTCCTGCCTATATGTGATCAAGCACATCTTGTGCAACTGGGGCAAGCAACCTTGTTTATTGAAGGGAAGTCACATGACTTGTTATCTTACAAGAACAACAGCCCTCAGCTTTCCAGGAAGTTTTCTGTCCTTGGGCAAGTGGGACCTACAAGTTAACTTTAGCCTCACGTGTGCTGATCCCAGAAGACCAGAATTCGGTTCCCAGCACCCAACCAGGAGGCCCACTACTGCCTGTAACGCCTCCAGCGCCAAGGGAATTGAAAACCTCTGACTTCTACAGGCACCGGCACTCACATGCATGTACACACACACACACACACACACACACACACACACACACACACACACACACACACACACTTGCATGAATGCACATGTAATTTTTAAAACAATAAATCTTTTTTAAAAAAAGCCATCCACCGAAAAACCAAAAAAAAAAAAAAAAAAAAGGCTGGGCGGTGGTGGCGCACGCCTTTAATCCCAGCACTTGGGAGGCAGAGCCAGGCGGATCTCTGTGAGTTCGAGGCCAGCCTGGTCTCCAAAGCGAGTTCCAGGGAAGGCGCAAAGCTACACAGAGAAACCCTGTCTCGAAAAACCAAAAAAAATAAAAAATAAAAAATAAAAAAAAAAAAGCCATCCACAAAAGGCCACATATAAATGAAGCCACTGATAGACATGTCCACAGTAGGCAAATCTATATAAAGACAAAAAACTGATTAATGGCTGCCTGGAGCTAGGAGGGAAGGAAGGACAGGAGGGTTCTGGTTAAAGAATGCAAGACTGGTTTCTAAGGGTACTGGTCAAGAAGTTTCTAAGGGTACTTACTGGTCAAGAATGCAAGACTGGTTTCTAAAGCGATGGCTGCGGACATGCTAAAAGCTTTGTTCTCTCTACGTGGGTGAACTGTATGTGTGGTGTGGATTTTCTTGGGTATGTGATGAGTGCGAACATGTGTCTGTGCACACACAAGTGTAGAGGTGTGAGGACAACCTAGGGTGTCGGTCCTTGCCTTCCACCTCTGAGGTAGGGTGTCTTTGCTGACCCTACTGCAGTTGTTACTCTGGCTGGCCCATGAGCTTCTGGGAAGCCTGAGTCTGCATTCCATCTCAATGTAGGAACACTGGGAAGATGTGCACATCTGCCTGACCTTACATGGGTTCTGAGGATTTGGACTCACATCTTCACATTTGCGTGGCAAGCACTTTGCCCTGAGTCATCACTCTAGTCTTAAGTTTTAGTTCAACAGAATTTTTTTTACTTTTGGTCAGGCAGTGGTGGTGCACGCCTTTGATCCCAGCACTCAGGAGGCAGAGGCAGTCAGATCTCTTTGAGTTCGAGACCACCCTGATCTACAGAGAGAGTTCTAGGATAGCCTGGGCAACACAAAGAATCCTTGTCTTGGAGGAAAAAAATATTTTTCTTTGCTTGTTGAGATAGGATATTTCTCCCAGGCTGGACTCAAACTGTCTGTGTAGCTGAGGATGACCTTGAACCTCCCATCCTTCTGCGTCTGCCTCTGGAATGCTGGGATTACAGATATGCTTCAGAGTGCCCAGTTTATGTAGTTCATTAGATGCTAGGCAAGGCCCCAATTATTAGGTCTCAAGCTCGGGACAAATGGCTAACTGAGGTGTCTATTTAACATATCTCCTAGCATCCTTGGTCCCTACCTGTTACAGGGTGTGGCTGGCATACCCCATCCCCTATCCTAAACTGCTCCAGCCCAGGGGCTGAGCTTCCCTTCCCCCAGCTGCCCTTCCCTATATAATCCAGGCATTTTGGTTATCTGGTCCTTTTTGTTTACGCTTTACTCTCCTGGCCTCTTTTTTTTTTTTTTTTTTAAAGATTTATTTATTTATTATATAAACAGTGTTCTGCCTGCTTGTGTCCCTACAGGCCAGAAGAGGGCACCAGATCTCATTACAGATGGTTGTGAACCACCGTGCGGTTGCTGGGAATTGAACTCAGGACCTCTGGAAGAGCAGCTAGTGCTCTTAACTTCTGAGCCATCTCTCCAGCCCTCTCCTGGTGCCCTGGCTCTCCTCTCTCCCCTCCCCCTCTCCTCTCATAGTCTGGCACAGGGTCATGTTCTCTCTGGACTCTCCCAGATGTCTCTGCCTCTGACTGTGCTCTCCCTCATACCCACAATAAACTTTCTTTTTCTTTTTTTCATTCACTAATAAAGCTATTTTTTTTTTATTTGAGACAGGGTCTCTCTATGTAGCTCTGGATGTCTTGGAACTCTGTATGTAGACTAGGCTGGCCTTGAACTCACAGAGATCCACATACCGCTGCCTTTCCAGTGCTGGGATTAAAGGTGCGAGCCACTATGCCAGCTCAATAAATCTAATTTTTAAAATTGTAGTGCCACACTAGATCCAGGTTAGTCTAAACTACAGTTTCCCTTCTATAACACAATGACTGTGGGTAATATCAGTGCTAGACTGAGAAGCTACTCTATCTGGAAAGCAGTGTCAGGAAAGGAGTTCAGTCTTTTTCAAGGTCACCGATCTTAGAAATCCCCATCTGTTCCAAAAACACTGGGGGAAACCAAAACAATACCTTTAACCTACATGGAAAAGGGAGAAAACCAGAGGAGCATGGGGTAGATATGACAGGCTCGTCAGAATTCACTATTGCTATAGAAACTCAAGTCCAAAATAGACTGTGCTTTCCCTGCGAGGAAACTGTATTTCAGAAGATTCAAATAACACGGAAAGACTGAGGGCCAAAAGAGCCCCTGGGTGGCCAAGGCCATCTTTCTGACCACAACAGCCTCAGTTCTGTTACCTCTATTGACTCTGAAACTTGGCAAATCCCTTTCTCTCTCCAGATCTGCTTCATTTCCCAGACTAAAGGCCAAGGTCATCATGAGAAGCCCCTGAGCTGTCCAGCTGCACCAGCAGGGTCTGTGGGCATCTCAGTTACTGCTGTCACCATGGAAAGGAAGTCAAGGGCACTGGGTCTGGGGGACAGGTATTCCTTACCCTCAGCAAAACACACAAAACCTTAGGACCTCGGGAGGTTATGGGAGGCCATCGCTGCAGCTTTCAGCCAACAGCTCTGTCCTGACCTGACGACCTGAATTCTCTCATCCCCAGGCAAATTAAAAGACCAAATGTCATTATGCAATTAATAACGGGGCAGATGCAGTTTGGCTTCTGTGTCTCCACCAGGCTCCTGCTCCTGCTTCAGTCCCTAAGGACAACGTGGCTCTCTCCAAAACCGAGGGCAGAGGAGGAAATGGCCAGGTCCAGAGCGGTGCTTGGCACTTAACACAGGATTCTGCTCTTATTGACCGCCTCTTGAATACTCATGATCCCTTGGCACTCTTCGGCCTGGAACAGCACAAACCACACGACCCACGCACGGAATGGCATCCACACCTGTTCTTAGCAACCCAACAAAATCAATAACCTAACAACCATTACTACCAGAATATAGATTTTGGGAGGCGAGGCATTGTGTTTATCTTGTTACCAACGTTCAAAATAAAGCCACATAATGATCTTTTTATGAATATCGGTTTAATGCTGGATGAATTAAGGGACTACTGTGTGCAAAGTGATATGTTGGACCGCTCGCTGTGGGGAGGGGGAATGTCCTTGCAGAATCATTTCCACCAGAAGCTGAGGCTCGCCCCCGAAGTCTTCCATCCGCTAGGGGCCGCTGTAGGAAACACTAGGCTTCCTTTCACGCGTCCCTCTTGGACCCTGCGAAGCCATTGCCCGGAGCTAAGATGGCGGCGTCGGTGGCTGCTGCCGCCGGGAGGCTGCGGCGAGCCATCGGGAGGTCGTGCCCATGGCAGCAGTTCTCAACCGAGTCCCGTCCACCCCACGGAGCGGCCGTGCGGGACGCCTTCCTGAGCTTCTTCCGGGATCGCCATGGCCACCGGCTGGTGCCCTCCGCCTCCGTGAGGCCGCGCGGCGACCACAGCCTGCTTTTCGTCAACGCCGGCATGAACCAGGTGGGGGCGGGGCCTCGCCGGCCGGGGGCGGGGCTCGGGCGTTTGCCTGAGAAAGGAGCGTCAGGATTGGGCCAGAACAGCGAGGGGCGGAACCCAGAGCTCTTGTGGGAGAGGCGCTGGGTAAAAAGATCGGGGGCCTGGTTAGGTCTTGGGGAATTAGTTTGGAGACTTGAGGGGAGAAATTAAGTTTATTATCCCTGGACAGCAAGTGTGGAGCCCCGAGGGTCAGGCTCCGAGTGGAAGACTAAATAAATATAACCCTTCCATTAAGTAGATGTTTATTGCGCGGCTGCTACGTTCTTTGACTCTCTCCAACCACTTCTTATCTGTAAATTTTGCCACTTTTACTAGGCAGAGGTCTTTGGTTTCGATTTATTCGCCTCTTCTCTGCTTCACATACACCAGAGATCCTGGGGTGCCCCGGGCCAAGACCACATTGCACTCTTGGGGTCCCAAATAGCCTCGAGTTTGAACAGCCATCTTCATCACGCCCCACTTTAACCTTCTGCTAAGGAACTAAAGAACTCCCCCATTTGTGTGTGCTTCCAGTTCAAACCCATCTTCCTGGGCACAGTGGATCCACGAAGTGAGATGGCAGGCTTCCGACGTGTTGCTAATAGCCAGAAATGTGTGAGGGCCGGAGGGCGCCACAATGACCTGGAGGACGTGGGCCGAGATCTCTCGCATCATACCTTCTTTGAGATGCTTGGCAATTGGGCTTTTGGGGGTGAATATTTTAAGGTGAGATTCCAGGGAGCTGTAGAGTTAATTCTTTGAACCCTCATGCTGGATACTGTGGCCAAGTGCTGGACAAGGTGTGTGGTGGGGGAGAGGGAAAGATGACTTGGCTGGTAAAAGTGCTTGTGGATCCCCCAGAACTCACATAACAAGTGAAGGCCAATTATAGTGTGTGCTATCATTCTGGAGCTTCCCGATGGGAGATGGAGACAAGAGGATCCTTGGAAGTTCACGGGCGAGCTAGTCTGGCCTACGTTCAAAGTTCCAAGCGAATGAGAGACCCTGTTTTGTATAGTCACTCATAGTTGTCCTTTGACTTCCACACGTGCATACCCACACCTAATGTGTGTGCAAATGTGCACTAGCCCATCTGACTCCCCAACACCTCCCAACACACATGCGCGCGTGCGCGCGCGCGCACACGCGCACACACACACACACACACACACACACACACACATACACACACACACAGACATAGAATGGGAAGGAATGTGGCTCACTTCCCTGAGTGAAGGAAGGGACTGTGTCTCCTGCCTGAGGGCTGCTGAAAAGTTAGATGAACAGATGTCCAGACAGCAATGCTGGGATGGTCACTGGACATAAAGTCCCCAGGTCAGGGTGGTGGGTGGAGGAGTCTGTGGAGAAGATAGAACTCACCTGGGACGGAAAGGAGGCGGGCTTTATAAGAATGGAGACACTTTCTGGGCAGGAAGAACTCAGGCAAGAATGGACATGACTTGGTCTGAACTGAGGGTGGGTAGTGAGCATGGTTTTGTCTTGGGTTCATGAACTCCCATGGCCTGACTGGAGAATCTCTGCACCCTGGTTTGCCCTGCAGGAAGAGGCTTGTAGCATGGCCTGGGAACTGCTGACTCAGGTCTATGGCATCCCTGAGGACAGGTTATGGGTCTCCTACTTTGGTGGTGACTCCAAGACAGGGCTGGACCCAGACCTGGAGACCAGAGACATCTGGCTTAGCTTGGGGTAAGTTGGCCCCTTCCTTCTGTCCACCCCAGGCAATAGGAGGACTGGAAAGCAGACTGTCAGTACAAATCATCAGAGTTCAGCAGGTGTGAGCATGCTGTGGGTCAGCGCTAGGACCCCTCTTCCCGAGCTGGGCTTAGGTAGGAGGCTGATAGCAGAGGACGTGCCAACTTCTAAACCTGCCCATCTTCCACCACTTTCCTGGCCTTCTCCCCAGAGTGCCTGCCAGCCGCATGCTTTCCTTCGGACTGCAGGAGAACTTCTGGGAGATGGGAGACACCGGGCCTTGTGGGCCTTGTACTGAGATCCACTATGATCTGGCTGGGGGAGTGGGAGCCCCCCAGCTGGTAGAGCTTTGGAATCTGGTCTTCATGCAGCACAACAGGTAATGGCGGCTGAAGCTAACATTAGTCCCTAGCTGAGCTCACATGCCTTTTAAAAATAGAAACTGATCAAATTCTAGTCCTTGTCCATGACAATTTCAACTAGTTGCAGCTCTCTGGCCTCTTAGCGTATAATGGAGTTGAGTTTAGTGGTCACTAAGATTTTCCTGTAACATGTCTTGACATGCCTCTCTGAAAACAATGAGTCTGGCTTAGTAGGCATGTCTGGGTCCAGACAAAGGCCCAAGCACGAGGAAGAAGAGTTCACCTTTTTGAGAAAGGATAGGGAGGGGAAGGGGACACTGTCCTGCAGGTTCCTGCGGCTCTCAGCCCCTGGGTCCTTGTGTTTCTGCTGACCTTGAGCACCTGCCTCGCACCTGGCAGACTCACCTGGCCTCACCTTGCACACTTTCCCTGGCCAGAGAGGCAAATGGAAACCTGCAGCCGCTGCCCCAGAGACACGTGGACACAGGAATGGGCCTGGAAAGGCTGGTGGCTGTGCTGCAGGGCAGATGTTCCACCTATGACACTGACCTCTTCTCTCCACTGCTCAGCGCCATACACCAGGTGAGCCCGCCTCCGCCTCAGCCCCATTGCTGTGCGTGCGTGTGTGTGTGTGTGTGTGTGTGTGTGTGTGTGTGTGTGTGTGTCCAGATGACAACCTTGGATGTCATCTTCAGGAATGATGTCTACCTTCTTTGAGATAGGGTGTGTTATTGGCTTGTAGCTCACCAATTAGGCATGCCTGCTGGCCATCACACCTCAGGGATCCTCCTGTCTCTGCCTCCCCAGCTTTGGGATGACAAGCCTATGCCACTGTGGCAGCAATTGTACATGGGCTGTAGAAATCAAACGCAGGTCCTCATGCTTATGGAGCAAACACTTCCCCAACTGCATCATCTCCCCAGCACCCCCCACCCCGACTGCGCCATCTCCCCAGCACCCCCCACCCCATAGTGCTTATGTATCTGTTGAGATCTCAGTATTGCCATCTGTGGGACAGTACAGACCAAGGATCCCAGGGTGTCAAGTTTGCAGCTAAGATTCGCTGCTACCCGATGTTCCTCCTAACCCCTCCCCTTCACCATTTAAGATGTGTATTGAGTCCTTTATGAAAGACTCTGGGCTTGGGGCTCAAGGGGACACCGAGGCAGATTGTCCTCTTGAGAAAGAGATTTATTGAAAGAGTTATTAACTTCATGGACAGACAGATAGCAGTGTGGTAGGGCTCTGAAGAGAGTTCAGGCCCCAGCACCAGAGCCAGACAGCATGGTGGGGGCCCTGAAGAGGGTTCGGGTCTCTGAAGCTGAGTGGTGTCCTTTCTTAGAGGAAGGGAAGGTTTTGGACCACAGCACGGGCCTGTATTCCAGAGAAGGACTATGCTTTTCTAGACTGAGGGGGAGGTGACAGAGAGAGTTCATCTACTCCAGTTAACCCACTATACCATTAGCCCTCGGGTGCCTGGAGTCTGGTGTCCTGTGCCTAAAGACTGCCTTGGGGAAGTAAGAATGGCACCACCACCATTCTCCTGGAATCTAAGCACGTGAGGAGCTAGAGATAGGCCCTTGGGAGGGCGCTTGCCATTTTCTTTACGGTGGTTTTAAGAGAGAAGCTGGGTGTGGCTTGACTAGCCCTCTCAGCCAACACCTTTATGTTTGGTACAGGGGCTCAGAATAGAAGAGATACGGAGATTACTTCAAGCATGAGTGGCAGACAGTAAAGCAGAGTGTAGGAGAACAAGATCGTAGCTCACGGATTCTGAGCCGGTAACCGGCCTGGCGGATCGTCGCTGGCGGGGGTGTTACAGAGGAATCTTAGACCACTTGTGTGGAGAAGCCTGGCCAGGGAGATGACCTTTGATCTAAAACCTGAAAGGAGAGTCAGCAGAGAAAGCTTACCGCAGGCAGACCACAGTGGGTACCGCGGCAAGAAAGGCTTGACATATGCCGTTGTCAGCAATGGCAGGAGATGCAGTCCAGCACCCCTCAGGACCTCCGTCCAGATAAAGCAGGGCCCTTGGCTGCACCACAGAAGGTCAGCGTGAGTGAGTTTATTAAGTATTTAGCCGGAGACCTAGAGGAGAAAGACACCCAAAACATGGGTACCCCCGCCTCCCTACAAGAACTGTGTTTGGATGTCTTCACAGTGGCTGCATGTATGGTCCTGTGGCTTTCTAAGGTATATTTCTCAAAGGATGTCATTTGGAGCAAGGTTTAAAGATTAATTGGATTTAAAAATACAAACTTATTTACTTTCTCCAAGAATTCCTTTTGCAAATTAAATTGTAAGGTGGTTTTCTGAAGTGCCTTGTTTACATTTAGGGATGAGATAAGTGTTCTAATAAAGTAAAATTTACAGCCACAAATATTCCGGGCCCCAAATGAGCATAGTTTGTTGTGGTTCTTTGGTTTTTGGTTTTTTGTTTTTGTTTTCGTGTATGTGAGTGTGTGTGTCTGTGTGTCTGTGTGTAGTTACCTACAGAGACCAGAAGGTGGAGCATCAGATTACAGGGAACTGGAGTCACAGGCGGTTGTGAGCCACCTAGTGTGAGTGCTGGGAACCAAACTCAGATCCTCAGGAAAAGCAGCAGGTACTTCTAACTGTTGGGTCACCTCTCCAGCCCCTAGTGTGTGGCTTTTAACAGCCTTGTTTGAGAAGTTTTAGGAAGGCAAGCCCTATCTCCAGGTGGATAGTGCTTCAGTTTTATCAGTTGTACTGAAGTGTCTTGACTCTCAGCCAACAGGAAACACAAACTAGATCCCTGGCTAGGGACCTTCTTCTCCCTTCCAGGCCCTTTGGGAAAGGCATGAGGGACAGCCAGGTAGCTGAGGTAGAACCCTGTGTGCTGTGGATGGAGCCCATGCCAGAGCGTTGGCTGCATGACATGCCAGTACTATAAGTCAGCAGCTGCCACCCAGTCCAGGAGTCTGGGCACTGGCACAGGCTGGGCCACCTTTTCTGGGTCATTCTTTTGGTCTCGCATGAGCTCATCCAAACATCTGTGGTTGGGTAGGAGGCAGCTCTGCTTCTAGGCTTTGGTTGACTGTCAGTCTGTCTGTCTGGGACAGCAGGGGTGGCTAAGCCATGTGTCTGCTGCCGTCCAGCTGGCTGGCTCTAGTGCAGGCTTGTCTCCTCCCAGCAAGGTTCTAAGAAGGAGGCCAGAGGTGGAAGTGGCCCTTCCTTGTATTCTTTTTCTTTTTTGAGGCAGGGCCTCTTGCATTCCAGACTGGCCTCAGACTTGCCGTGTAGCCAGAGATGACCTTGAACTCCTGATTCTCCGGCTTCTCCCTCCTAAGTGCTGGAATTAGAGGTGTGCACCTCTACACCAGATTCCCTCCTATGTTCTGTCGACCAGAGAAAGTCACTGGGCAGCTTCAGGCTCAAGAGATGGGGAGGGAAGTCGATGAGATCTGTTGATGGGAAGCAGCTTTAGAGTCCTTTGGCAGAGTGGCCTGTGCTCAGGGAAAGAACGTTTTTACGATAGTTTACTGCAAAGAAGGTAGCAAGGGTCCCATCTTGTGGGGGCTTGAAGTCCAAAGAGAGGCTTTTATTCTGTGCCTGAGGAGAAAGGCTCGGGTGGAGGGGATGTGGGATCTGCTGTGCATTCCCACAGGGCAGTTCTGGTGCTGTGGAGGACGAGCTAGAGCCAGATGACACTGAGAGCCAAAAACACTGCCCTGTTATCAATCCAGGCAAAAGCCAGGGTAGGGGTGCAGCTTAGGCGGTGGCCGGAGACAAGAGAGATGAGATGCCTCGCAGAGGTCAAAGGAAAAGACCCACAAAGGTCAGTGGGTGGTTTGGGGGCGTGGCTTAAGCAGCATCGTGAGTGGCTGGACATCTAATACAAGCCTGTACCAGAGTACGTTCGGAGCTGGGCAGATTAAGTGGCCCACCGCGGCACATTAAAGTAAGTGTATACCAGCTTCCCCCACTCCACACCCTGGCCCCTGACCCTACCTCTAGGATGATTGGAGGGCCAAGCATGGAGTCACACCAGCCTGGTGTGACTGGAGTCACACCTTACTTCAAATCTGCACCTAAGGAGCTAGTGGTCTCATATAGCTTTATTCTTATTTATTTATTTATTTATTTATTTATTTATTTATTTGGATTTTTCAAGACAGGGTTTCTCTGTGTAGTTTTGGTGCCTATCCTGGAACTCGCTCTGTAGCCCAGGCTGGCCTCGAACTCACAGAGATTCACCTGCCTCTGCCTCCCGAGTGCTGGGATTAAAGGCATTCGCCACCACCACCCCGCTTGGTTTGGTTTTTTTGAGACAGGATTTTTCTCTGTGTGAACCTGGCTGTCCTGAAACTAGCTCTGTGGACCAGGCTGGCCTCAAACTCACACAGATCCACCTGCTTCTGCCTCCCAAGTGCTGGGAAGGTCATTCTGGATGTTGTTACCACTCTAGTTGGTGGCGTGAACCTGGCCAACTGAAGTCTCATGCAGTAGCCAGCTTTATTCAAGCATCGGACAGTTTATATTCTGAGGGTTAAGAGAAGTCACTCTATATAAGGTATACAATCACAAGGACAAGCCACACATGGCAAAAACATGTTTTTCCACAGAGACATATAAATAACAACAGCTGAAGTTAACTCTCCTATCTGCCACACCTGAGAGGAGCATGAAAACACATTCCAAGAACAATTCTGTGTTCTGAGGAAACTGAGGTCACAAGACTCTTGTTTTCCTGGAGTTTTCTCGAAAGCACTCAGAATTCTCACTCGACTCCATCCTTGGACTGTGTTCTGACAGGATGTGGTCTGTTTTAGGGCAGAGACAGGCACCTGCCTGGGCCTGGCAGAGCTGGCACCTATGTCTGTCTTCCTGCTTTTCAGGGCTGCAGTGTGCCCCCTTACTCTGGCCGGGTAGGGGCAGCAGATGAGGGACGCATAGACACGGCGTACCGAGTCATAGCCGATCACATCCGCACGCTCAGTGTCTGCATTGCCGATGGTGTCTACCCAGGGATGTCAGGTGCCCCGTGAGTCTGGACGGGCAGGTGCTGCGGGAGTGGCCAGGCTATCAGGGAGGGGATGGGGAGGTGAAATGAGGTCAAGGGCTCAGAGGAAATAGAGGAAGCACCCCACTCCCCATATTGCTGGTCAGTTGACGCTAGGGGTTCATACTTGGGCTGTGAACCCCTCTAGGCTAGTTCTTCGCCGGATTCTCCGTCGAGCTGTGCGCTTCTCCACAGAGGTCTTGCGGGCACCGCCTGGCTTTCTAGGCAGCCTGGTGCCAGTGGTGGTGGAGACATTGGTAAGCACAGAGCCTCCTTTCTGCGTGCCCCCTGGGCCCTGGGAGCCTACCACTGAGCCCCGACAGTGTTCCCCCCTCACTGTCCAGTCCCGCACCCCATCAAGGAGCCTGAGAAAGCTGGTCTTGCTCACAAAAAGCAGGGAGACCTCAGGCTACTAGACCTTTGACCTCGGGGTTCCCTTCCACTCATATGCCTGCCCCACTGGGAAACCACTTACCCGTCTGAGTCCCTCCCAGTTCTCAGAGCATCTTAGCCTCCCGGGTGGGCCATTTACCTTCTCCACACTCCTCCACCCCTAGGGAGCCGCTTACCCAGAACTTGAGAAGAGCTCAGTCCAGGTACTGATTCACACGGGGAGGTGGAGGCTGCCCCGGAGCTGTAGGGAGAAGCCTGTTTCCAAGGAAACACAGCTCCACTCTGCCCTGCCCTGGTTCAGATAGCCAGCCTGGTGTCCGAGGATGAGGCAGCCTTCCTGGCCTCCCTGCAGCGAGGCCGTCGGATCATCGACCGCACCGTTAAGCGCTTGGGGCCTTCTGATTTGTTCCCTGGTGAGCTGGGGGCCTAGCCAAAGCAAAGGGGCTCTCAGGCCCACCAGAGTGAGCAGAGGCAGCAGCTTTCAGCCCGCCAAGGACCTCATACTCAGCCCGCCCCCAACTTCTGGCAGAAGTTTCTCGCAGGAGCTTGACCTGACCACACAGAAGCCACCCCTCTATCCCATCCCTTGTTTCCAAGGCAGCTTCATACTTAAATTGAGACCACCAGAATGCCATGTGTCTTGGGAGTGTGTTAGGCCACCCTTGCCTGACCTTGGAGCCTGAAGCTAGATGGCTCCTCACCTGGGAAGACCTAGTCTGGGGGTGGGGGCACTGGTAGGTTTGTGTGGCTGAGAAAGCCTGAGCCCGCCCACTTCCTCCCCCTCCTTTGATCCGCCCCCCCCCCCCCCCCCCCCCCCCCACTTCTCAGCACTCTGTTCTCTTTCCTCAGCTGAGGTGGCCTGGTCATTGTCACTGTCTGGAAACCTGGGGATTCCGCTGGACCTGGTGGAGTTAATGCTGGAGGAAAAGGGGGTGCAGCTGGATGCTGCGGGACTGGAAGAGCTAGCCCAGAAGGAGGCTCAGGTACAGGCTGCTGGACTCTGGTGACCCAGCAGTCCCTCTCTCAGCCCTGAACTGGGGCAAGAATTAGTTAGTCATAGGATTGGAAGCTGAGGTGGGGTCTTTCCCACCAAATGGGAGAGGAAACAGAACCTCAGCCCTACTCGGTCTGTAGAGAGGAACCTCAGCCCCAGGGACCAAACAGGAGCGGAAGAGAGGAGGCCAACACACTGTCCTAGAGAGAGGGTCCCCAGGGGTGGTTGTGGGCAAGGAGGCCTGCCCCCAGGGCGCCTGTGATGTCTGGTTACCAGCTACCTAAGATGGCCCTCTAGAAGCCAGCAAAGCCCCTTAGGTCTTATTCCACGAAGGCTGCAGGGCCCACAGCCTGTTTTCTCTGCACCTGCTCCCCATTCCACCCCCCACCCCCACATACACACACACACACACACACACACACACACACACACACACACACACACTTGTCCTGCAGCACCGGGCCCAGCAGGCAGAGCCAGTTCCGGAGGAAGGACTGTGTCTTGATGTCCACGCACTGGAGGAGCTGCACCGTCATGGGGTACCCCCAACTGATGACAGCCCCAAGTATAACTACTCTCTTCGACCCAACGGGGAATATGGTGAGAGCCTAGACCCAGGCTGGTAGTCAGTCCCACACTTACCTGACCTTGACTGGGAAGGAGAGAAATGGTAGCCACCAGCTTCTTGCATTCCCCAGACTACCCAGCAGGGGTCGCTGCCTCTTTCATCTAGAAATGCCTTCCCTACTTCACCCTCTGAAGTCGGATGCCTTTGCCTCAGATCCCAAACCCATCACAACCCTAGGCCCAACACTGATAATCCTTATGCCTCTGGCAGAATTTGGCCTCTGTGAGGCCCAAGTACTACAGCTGTATTCAGAGGATGGGACGGCTGTGACCTCTGTGGGGGCAGGCCAGCGCTGTGGCCTCCTGTTGGACAGAACCAACTTCTACGCTGAACAAGGGGGCCAGGCTTCAGATCGTGGCTACTTTGTTCGTACAGGTCAGCAGGTGAGCATCCGGCACCTCACGCTGACTTTTGTGGGAGGGAAAAGTGAGGCTGGGGGCAGCCAAGTGCAGGGATGGCTGCAGGCCATCATTGTGGCGTCTTGGCCATGTTCTCCCCCAGGATGTATTGTTCCCTGTGGCCCGGGCGCAGGTCTGTGGGGGCTTCATCCTGCATGAGGCAGTGGCCCCCGAGTGCTTAGAGGTGGGGGATCGAGTGCAGCTGTATGTGGACAAGGTAAGGCCCTTCCCTAGCCCAGCTGCTCTACATAGCCTGCATCCCCTCTCCCTGGCCACTCCTACCCTCACCCAGGACCCTGGGTGACAAAAGTGTTCCAGGCCTGGCGAATGGGATGCATGGTGAAGCACACGGCCACCCACCTGCTGAGCTGGGCACTTCGGCAGACCCTCGGACCCACCGCCGAGCAGCGGGGCTCCCATCTCAACCCTGAGCGGCTGCGCTTCGATGTGGCCACCCAGGTGAGCTGGGCACAGGAAGACGGTCATTATGGGAAATGGCATGCTGCAAGACAAACAGGAAGTGGGTTGTGGAACCTCACCTCAGCAAGCCCCCTCTACTCGGGACACTACCTGTCACCTCTCACCACTCCTCACCTTCCTGTTCCCCGTGGGAGCATCACTTCCCCCTTCATGGACAGCAGTTTCCAAACCGGTTCCTATGGCTTTGTTTCCCTTCCCCACCCCAGGCCCCACTGACCGCAGAGCAGCTCCGGACGGTAGAGAACCACGTGCAGGAGGCTGTGGGGCAGGATGAGGCCGTGTACATGGAGGAGGTACCCCTGGCACGCACAGCTCACGTCCCTGGACTCCGCTCACTGGATGAGGTGAGTGGTAGGAGGGTGACCCCGGAGGGCTTCCCGTCCTTCACAGGCAGCTGAGAGCCCCCGTCCCACCTTCCCCCAGGTGTACCCAGACCCCGTGAGGGTAGTGTCGGTGGGTGTTCCTGTGGCCCAGGCACTGGCACCGGCCTCCCAGGCCGCACTGCAGACTTCGGTGGAGCTCTGCTGCGGCACGTGAGTCACTGCTGCCACCCTGTCCCTGGGCCCCGGATCCTCACCCTTCCTCAATCGCCGCAGCCCCCAGCCCTCGCTTTGGGCTCAGACTTGTCCCTTCTCTCCGTCACCTCCCATTTCTTCGTCTTCCGTATAGGCACCTGCTACGTACCGGGGCCGTGGGGGACCTGGTGATCATTGGGGATCGGCAGCTGGTCAAGGGCATCACTCGCCTACTAGCCGTCACTGGGGAGCAGGCCCAACAGGTCAGAATGCTAGAAGCCCAGGAGACTTGACTGTGGGAGGTGAGGGGACACCCAGCTGACACCTAGGCTCCCTGTCCACACACTGCTGCGGCTGTAGCAGCTGCTGGCAGCTAGCAGCTGTTGATTTAGGACTGGAGCCTTGACCGGCCCCAACTGGTAACCATTTCTGACATGGCCCTGATTGCAGTGAGAGCCGAGGCCTGTCCTGGGAGAGGGCGAGTGTAGTCTGGGAGAGGGTGAGTGTAGTCTGGGAGCCTTCACTTTCTTGCCCCTCCTGTAGGCCCGAGAGGTGGGCCAGAGCCTGTCCCAGGAAGTGGAGGCAGCCAGGGAGCGACTGAGTCGGGGAATCCGGGACCTGCCAGAGGCTCATCGGTTATCTAAGGACATAGGACGTCTCACTGAGGTCAGGGCCACCCTCGCCTTCCACTGGCCCCGTTCCTTCCCTGTACTTTTTTGGACCCTTCCTGTCCCTCCCCAGCCTTCCAGCTGGCCCACACTTGTCCTCAGGGTGGGTCCGGTGTCTGCCCGGCTCCGTCATCCTTTCTCTGAGACTGTGGCAAGGGTGACACTCGGCTCTCCCATAGGTCATAGACTCCGCTGTGGTGCCTCAGTGGCAGCGGCAGGAGCTCCAGACCACACTGAAGATGCTGCAGCGCCGTGCCAACACCGCCATCCGGAAACTGGAGAAGGGCCAGGTGAGAGAAGGCGCAGCCATGCCTGGTACTCACGGATATCCCCGCACTAACCCTAGAGCCTCCAGAACTGGGAGAGGAGGAGGCAGCTTCCTCCTTGATCTGCCACCAGGCACCGTATTACCAAGCCATTTACCACTGCCCTTCCCACTGGGCAGCCTCCCGACGCGAATGCCAGTCAGCCATAATTGCTCCTTGACTGTGGGCTCCTGGTCCCCTCCCAGTCCGTCTGTGCCATCTGGCTTCTCCCTCTGACCTTCAGCAGCTTTCGTAGGGCCCCATGACAGAATAGAAGAGGTGAGGCAGTCTCAGGAGGTCACAGATGGAACCCGAGAAAGCAGGCCATGCCAGCCCGAGCCCCTGCCAGCTCTCCTCAGAACTAATGGCCTCTGTCGAGGGAGAGCATGGGGAGGAGGGGGCTGTTAGACCGGAGCTCAGTTCAGAAGCCGAATATCCATGCCTGACCCCTCTGCTGCTCTTCCTGCCCCACAGGCTGCAGAAAAAATCCCAGGAGCTGTTGAAGCGGCACTCAGAGGGGCCTCTGATTGTGGACACTGTCTCGGTTGAGTCCCTCTCAGTGAGTGCTGTGAAGCGGGGAGGGGTGTGGAGGGCGGCTGCCTAGGGCCTGCAGGAGGCCCGAGTCCTGACCGGGAGGTCCTGGGCAGCTGGGGAGTGGTAAATCACGGTGTCGTCCTCATGCAGGTGCTGGTAAAGGTGGTACGGCAGCTGTGTGAAAAGGCCCCCAGCATGTCCGTGCTGCTGCTCAGCCCCCAGCCCAGGGGCGGCGTACTCTGTGCCTGCCAGGTGGCCCAGGTGAGGGGACCCAAGAGCCCGTCCTAAATGCCCCTGCCTAGCTCCGGTTCCACCTCTTACTCCTTCTAAGCAGGAGATATAGGGTAGGGGGAGATAACCTATGACAGGAATAATCTCTCCTTGTCCCTGAAGATACCCTGTCCCCTCCCCAGGAGGCATGGTGAGATTTCTTAGTCACCTGCCTCTTACGCCTCAGTTCCTTGCAAAGTTCCATCCATATTCCCAGTCCAGCCCTTTCCTGTTGCCTCACCAGATGCCCTACCCTGTGCTCAGCCCGGGAGAGGGTGCTCATTGCTGGTGACTCATCCCCAGGGGTCTGCTGAATGGCTGGTGGAGGTGAGGACTGCTCCTCATGGCTTCCCCTCCTGACTCTCTCCCCAGGGTGCCACGCCCACCTTCACAGCAGAAGCCTGGGCACTGGCGGTGTGCAGCCACATGGGAGGCAAGGCTTGGGGCTCTCGAGTGATAGCCCAGGGTACTGGACACACTGCTGACCTGGAGGCTGCCCTCGGGACAGCCCGAGCTTACGCACTCAACCAGCTCTGACCAGGCCCACCAGGACCCAAAGGAATCAGAGGCGAGCATCTGGAGCCCTCATGGAGCCTCCTGGCCTTCCTGGAGGCTGGGGCAGAGGACCAGGTGTCTGAGCCGAAGAGGGACACCTGGGCCACTTGACACCAGGAGACTAGAGGAAACAGAAGAGGACTGAGAAGCAGCCACCCCAACAAATGTGACGACCTGGGCTGTTGTAGCTGAGGGTGCCTATTAAAGGTATTTCATGGGGCTGGAGAGTTGGCTCAGTGGTTAAGAGCACTTGTTCCAGCCGCGTGGTGGTGCACACCTGTAGTCCCAGCACTCGGCAGGCAGAAGCAGGCGTGAGTTCCAGGCCAGCCTGGTCTGCCAGGAAACCCTGTCTCAAAAAACAAAAACAAAACAGCAAAAAGCACTTGTTCCTGGAAAGGACCTGGGTTCAATTCCCAGCATCCACATGGAGGCTCCCACCTCCTCAGGCATGGGCATGCATATAATACACAGACATACATGCAGGCAAAGCCCTCATACACACAAAATAATAAAAAAAAAAATTTGAAGAAGTATTTTACAGAAGATTGTAAGTTCTGGAGGATTTTGTTGTTTTAAAAAGAGTGACCTGGTCTCATAGTAGTGGCACGTGCCTCAGGAGACAGAGGCAGGTGGATCTCTGAGTTTGAGACCATCCTGGTCTACAGAGTGAGTTCCAGGACAGCCGGGGCTACACAGAGAAACCTGTCTTGAAAAACCGAAAAAAAAAAAAAAAAAAAAAAAAACCACTCAGCTATTAAGAGTGCTCACTGCTCTTCCGGAGGCCCAAGTTTAGTTCCAGCACCCACGTGGTGGCTCACAGTCACCTATAACTTCAGCATCAGCACACCCAAATCCCTTTCCTGCATTCTGTGGGCCCCTGCAAATATATGATGCAAATATATGATGCCCAGATGCAATGCAAGAGTGGCCTTCCTCAGCATGACGTGTACCCCATCACTAATCTGACCACCCACCCTAGTGGAAAGTACACCCAAATCCAGACCATCCAGCCACCAGAGTTTGAGATGAGGTCTGTGGGCCAGGATTGGCGGGGTACCAAGAAGGGTCTCCAGAATGTCTTGTGAAAATCAGAAGGGCGGGGTACACACCCCTGTGTCATTGAAGTGAGTGAGGCCAGGGTGGCTTGTTGATACTTTGAGCAGCAGGGCCTGGTCAGCTGGCAGCGACAGGCACCAGGCAGAACAGCTTCTCCCCTTGTGGGACCTGCTTCCAGGGGGAGGGCAGAAAGAGGCGTGTCAGTGAAAAAGGAAAGAAAGAGGCACAGGAGGACAGGAGTGTGGCCTCACTGCGTCACTGTGACCAGGTGACTTAGCTGGAAGTTACCTCAAGGTGCGAGCCTTGAGGAAATCTGAGAGGTGTTTGAGCTGAAGGAACAGCCAGGGAATGCCCAGGCTATGAGGAAGGATATGGAGAAGCCATGGGTGGTCAGACCAGTAGTGGACTTTTTACCTGAGATAGGGTCTCCATGTATAGCTGTGGGTTGGCCTGGGACTCCCTGCATGCCCAGGCTGGCCTCTAACAGAGACCTCAACTTCCCAAGCACCGAGATTGGAAGTGTGCACCACCACGCCCAGCCAGTGATAGGCTTTTAACGGTTAACCACAGCGCCTGCCCCAAGGCGGAGCTGAAGCAGAAGACAAGCATGGGGACCCAAGTTCAAGCTAGCTGTGGTGGGGTGCCCTCATAACACAGCTGTGCAGTGCGGGGTACACAGACGGGCAGAGCCCTGTGTTTCGTGAGCCGTCCAGCCTAGCCTGTTCATTGAAGAACAGTGGAAGACTTTCTCAAGGTGGACAGTAACCCCTGAGGTTGGCCTTCTACCCCCCATATGCATGGGCACACACGTGCACCTGTCTACACATGGACACGTGTGCACCTGTCTACACATGGACTGGGGATGTGGCTCCAGTGGCAGGGTACCTAGCATGTACAAAGTCCGGGGTCGGATCCCCTGCACCACATAAACCCAGCAAACCAAATGACACCCCTGTAATCCCAGCACTGGGGAGGTGAGACAGGAACGGCAGAAGTTCAAGGGTCGCCCAGGACTACACAAGTGATCCTTTGTAAGTCACTTTGTCAGGGCTCGAAGGGACTTGGGAACAGAAGCCTGGCTCCTCACTCATGGCTTGACCTCTGGAGCTTGGTGGGTAGACCAGTCTATAGTGCTTACCACAGGCCCAGCTCCTCCAGGGCCACCAAACCCGGGAGCCAGCAGAGACATGGGACCAGAGAAGCTGAGCTTTGCCTCCCTGGAACCCTCCACCAGTCCGCCGTCCCTCTGCTCTGGAGAGCGATTTCTCTTCCTATACACAGCCAGATCCCTGGCGTCGAGACAGCAACCCTATCCCGGCACGCCGGGGCTGGGAGCTTTGCAGGCGCTAGGCTTCGGGCTGAGTGAAGGGGCGGCTGTGGAGGCCCTGGCCCTCTCTGCCTTATTGGAGAAAGGTGAAGGGGCTCCCGGCAGAGTTGGCGTCCACAGCTCGGCCGCAGGGGAAATTCCAGTGACTTAAGTACCTGTGCCTGCCCCGCCACCTCTGTTTGGTTTGGACCGTCTCCCCTCCCCCACTCCTAACCAGAAGTACTTCCTCTCCCTGCGAAAAGCTTATGCATCCCGAAAGCAGAGCCCAAGGCCACAGGGTCGTGCATTGAGCACGCGGGGGCCGGGGGGGGGGGGGGCGGGGGGGGGCTGCGACCTTGGAGGGGGGAGGTTGTGGAGGAGGAGCCAGCCAACGCCCAGGGCGGAGGGCTCACGGCCCCGCCCCCCTGGCGACCCAGGCGTCCCTAACGACCAACTGCGCCAACCGCAGGTGAAAGCAATCTCCTGGGTCCCCGGAGCAGGTGAGGCGACCTCTGGGCGAGGGGATGCCCAACTCTGCTGTTCCCATTCAGACCCCATTCAAACTGGTCTAGCTCCAAAGCCCCCACCAGCTCCTGCCACCCACGCGGGTCTGTGGCCATGCAGCCATCATCTTAAACTTCCTGTTTTCTGTAATGAATGGGAGAACCTGTTCTGCGGTTACTTGAGGCCCACAGACCATTCCAGTCTTGTGAAGGTGGGACCCTGGCTCTGCATCCCACCATCTGTAAATTGGTCCAGAAGCCTAGAGTTCAAGTAGAGAAAGTGGGGGGACCTAGGAAGAGGAGGGCCTCCAGTCCTCAGCTGAGGTCAATGCTGCAGGCCCAGTGGCTTCCGCGGCTCCCTCAAGCCCCCCCATGGACCTGGTCTCTCAGGGTTACCAAGGGGAGGAGGAGGGACTTGCTGACCTTTGGAGCTGCTTTTCCTGCTGGGGTGGCTGAGGGAAGGTGGCTGGAGTCCTGGGGAGCTACTGCTGGTGTCTCTTTCCGTACAGCAGATAAAGGAGCCTGAGCTGGAGGGGGACAGCCCAGGGGATTATGGACAAGCGATCTCTCTAGGCCAGAGACCAAGCCCAGGCTCTCAGAAAAGCTTACACACACACACACACACACACACACACACACACACACACACACACACATCTCTCTTCCTTTAGTCCCAGAAACTGGGAATTCACAACAGGAATTTGGGCAAGAAAAGACAGGTTAAAGAAGATGTAAACGAGCCAGGCGGTGGTGGCGCACGCCTTTAATCCCAGCACTCGGGAGGCAGAGCCAGGCGGATCTCTGTGAGTTCAAGGCCAGCCTGGGCTACCAAGTGAGTTCCAGGAAAGGCGCAAAGCTACACAGAGAAACCTTGTCTCAAAAAACCAAAAAAAAAAAAAAAAAAAAAGAAGATGTAAACGATAGTCCAGGGCCATGAAAACAGGAACCTGGGGGCCTGAGGAGGGCTCTCTTTGGGGGGGACCCTGGGGTAAGTAAGGGTGGGAAGCTGACTGAGAAGGCATAGGAAGCAGAGACAGAGAGGTGAGTGGAGACCCCAAAGTCCCCCAACAGACCACCATAGCTACACTTTGGGAGGAACATGGGGCATGACAGGATCCTTCGCTATCCCATTTGGGTAGGTGGCAGGAACCTCCCTGACATGGCCAGATTTTACTGGGGACTTGAGAAGGATGAAAATGGAGGGAATATGCTGGAGATCAAGACTTGTTCCAGGTCTGTGAGCAACATGAAGGGCCCAGCACGGGTAGTGTGGAAGAACAAAACCACACCCTTCTCTTGGGCCCCTGTGGAGTCCTCAAGCCACAGGATGTCAGCAACGATCCAGCCTTATGGAAGCTTCTGGTGCCAACAGTGAATTGGGATAAGAGTGCTGGGCTTTGGGGGGTAATGGCTGAGCCCCACCGTGGTGATGCTCATGAGTGGGAGAAAGTCGCAGAAGGCTCACTAGAAAAGTGAGCTAGCCGGGCGGGTGGTGGCGCACGCCTTTAATCCCAGCACTCGGGAGGCAGAGCCAGGCGGATCTCTGTGAGTTCGAGGCCAGCCTGGGCTACCAAGTGAGTTCCAGGAAAGGCGCAAAGCTACACAGAGAAAACCCTGTCTCGAAAAAACCAAAAAAAAAAAAAAAAAAAAAAAAAAAGTGAGCTAGGCCACTGCAGCGGTGGCACACACCTTTAATCCTAGCACTGGGGAGGCAGAGTCAGGCAGATCTCTGTGAGTTCGAGGCCAGCCTGGTCTATAGAGCAAGTTCTGGGACAGCCAGAGCTCTACAGTAAAACTCTATCTCAAAAAAGAAAGAAAGAAAAGGAAAGTGAGCTGCCCCTCAGAGAAGGTACATTGGACAGACATTGCACCGGAAGAGCCGCTCTCCCTTCCTGGCTTGGTGACAGGAAGTCCCTTCAGTTTTCTAAGCCTCGGTTTCCTCCCATGTAAAGTGGGGACAATGGTGTCATAAAGACAAGCCTCACCCGGGACTCCGAGAGCTTGGTGAGTTTCACATAGTGAGCATGCTTCTTCTAATGCCCATGTCTTGAGTGCTGGCTCTAGGCCAAGCTTGTGTGAAATGCCACAAATGTTAGCCATTAACCGTCTACATGAGTGACGGGTGATGAAGGTGATATTAATTACTATCCCCATTTGACAGATGACGACGCTGAAACTTGGGGAGGTTGAGTCCTTGCCCAAGATCTTGGAGGTGTGAGCGAGCATTAGAGTGAGGATGTGGCAGTCCAAGGCCTGAGCACTCAGCCGGCCACTGTAGGGCCTCCTTGGGGCACCTGCTAATGCACACCTGTAGTGCAACAAATCATAGGTGTACAGAGCCAAGGCTGTGTGTGAGCCCA